CACTAAACACAACACAGTAAGATGATCCATCTGTCAAGAAAAACTGAAAAGAAAGACAAAATTTAAAACCTAAAAATATTTAAATCATCACTGTTAAAACTAACCACTGAAAATGATTTTATTACTGTTTTAAGTCACTTAACAAGTGATATTTAACTATATACAGGTACTCTGACAAGCATAAAATATTAATGGTTATTGTTTTATTTGAGTCATATAGAGCCCTGCTTCTCAACATATGGGTCGGGTCGCCAAAACATATTTGATGGTTTCCAAATTGCACCTGAGAAAAAAGGCAGACTTTCATAAAGCTTTCAAGAACTTAATTGTGTCAAATACTGTACTTCAACATACCAGTCCTACAAAGGACTCAATAATCAAGAGATAAACCCGATGTGCGCACGCTTTTACGTGGGGGTGGGTGCACACACAAGCTTCAGTCACTCATTAATAATCAGGCGGTCAACCTCGCTAAATTATATTGTTTTATTTAAACTTTAAACATTTCAAATAACGAGTGTCTCAAAAAATATTCCTACTATAAAATGGAACATTCTGTACATGACCAAACACAATATGCCTCATGAACTGTGCTTGGAAAAAATTGAACAATTATCACTGGCACATTGTTAGCCGCGGCTGACTAACAATACAGCAGCAGACTGCAAGTATCTTTAATACCAGAATAATTAGGAGAGAACTGTTATAGCATAGATATCAAATGATACTAGCATAGATTTAGTGGGTCGCCCCCTGAAAAAGGTTGAGAAGCAGGGATATAGATGGTGAACTTCCAGTTACGGAATGAAATTTAGTTGATATTTAGGAGCTTTTTTTCAAATAAATTCAATATTGTGATGATCAAACTAAATCTCATGTAGAGTTTGGACTTGTTTTAAGTTGTGCAAAAAATAATGGTGCCTGTAAAGGATTATAACCAAAAAGCCACGACCAACCCCCCTCCCCCTTCTTCCGTTTTTCCCCTAAATTTTAAAATTTCAATGCATATATTTAAATTAGTTATACTCACTTATCTATTCTGATATATTGTGCCCCACCAACCTCCCTTCCCATTTGAACAATTTTGGATCCGCCCCTGATAGGAGTGGAACTAGGCAGGCATTTTTACCAAAGTACCACTACCTAGCTACTCACCAGAGTAACATCTCAAATCAAAAGAAAACATCCAATAATTTTGAAATGTAGCTTTCAGTAGAATTTATTACTCACCCTGTGAGATATATAATAGGTCAGTTGACCAGCATAGTCCCAAATGCATGTGACATCACTTGGTATAAAACTGCTAGGTACCTCTGCTGTTTGACGTGGTTGACCCAATATGGCTCTTCGAAGTAGTTGACCCAATCTGGATCTTTGATGTGGCTGGGCAAATACGGTACGAGGATGGAAAGTGCCAGGTGCAGCAAGTTTAGCAACAAGTTTCTCATGAATTCCTTCTGGGAGTTTCCTGGTATAGCTTGCACTTCTAGTTGCTTCTGATGGCTTCTGTATTAAACATTCAAAAATGACTAATCTATATCCGTTCAAATTTATGCAGAAATTTAAACCAGTTGTTCAGGTAATGTTTTTCTTATTAGGCAGAGAGCTAAAAAAAAATACATATTAAAAATTTAAAAGAACATCAACTAAATTAATTAAAGTAATTTTTGAAATCATGAGAAATACAAATTCACCGATGAAGCAGCTGTAGAACTAGATGATGCAGAATTAGTTGTGTCTTGTTGGCTTTTTGGCTGTTTCAGCTTTTTGGCGAGATTTTCTGCGATGGCATGCTCACGTATCTGCTTCGTTAGTTCACAAACTGTAAAATATTGAAAGGTTTTAAAAGAAAAATTGAATAATTTATAAAAATAAATTTTCAATTAAATTATTTGTATTTTAAGAAAGTAAAATATTCATACAATCCGCATCCTTCTGTTCCTGCTATTTGCAAAAAAGAAGTTATCAAAATAACTTATACAAATAAAAATTTATAATATTTAAAGTTAAATTTTTAATTAAATTACTTATATTTCAAGAAAGTATAATATTCATACCATCCACATCCTTCTGTTCCTTCCATTTGCTGCCATCTCCATCAACCGTTTGAAATACTGTTGTTGTTACAATACCATCTGTTGATGGTTCCTTGTTGTTAAATCTATTCACATTTAGATAAATATAATAATAAAACAGTGTACATAGCATGTTAAACTATCAAAACTTTACAATATAGCCTTAATTTTGAATTTAAGCCTATATTCACAATCAAATACACATAGGATAATTACTACTGTATATGCCAAGTGTATCCTTACATTAGTTTTATATAGAACATTAAATTAGTTTTTGAATAACAGTTGAAATAGCCATAATAAAGTGCAACAAGCTCTGGAGGCACTCAGTAACAAAATGGTGTCATAGGCCTACTGTGCTGTAGTGATGTGTTGTGTATGTGTGGTGTAGTACTGTATTTAATGCATACTAAGTAGAAAATTAAACCCTTTTAAAATTACAGCTATATCAAGAACCAATGGGCAGAAATGCCCTTTTAAAATTTTTTAAACAATTGCAAAAAATCCTGGATAGTCAGTTGCCTAAGAGGAGTAATGAACCTATATGATACTATAAGAATGTTGTAATAATGCAAGCCAAAAGATTGTACAATTACCTAAAAAACAAGGCCTTATTTTGTACTTACACTTTGCCAAGCATGGAACGGACACAACTCGTCTTGCCTACCCCTTCTTTGCCAAGGAACATGACTCTGGAATTAACCATCGTAATTTCCCCATTCTGGACTTCATATGTGAATGCATTAATGGCTTCAGGACCTCTCGCTAATATTTCTTCTGGAACTGATAGCTCTTATGGATATAAAATATAACAAATATTATTTAGTTTTAATACTACAGTAGTATTCTTATGCTACATATTTCTTCCATCCATTTTAAAGTTTACATTAAACATACTGTGATTATTTTGTTCAAAAAAATTACCATCACAGTACAAACTGATTTCTGAAAATAACACATCAAAATATGTAATTTTATATCAAGGGTTCGAAACTCTGAGGGACTTAACTACATCTAGAACATAAGCAGGTCAAACAGAATATAACGTTAAAATAAAAAGTTATAAGAATAATACAGGAACTGAAACAAAGTACAAAATGTATAGTATTTTCTATTACATGTGTATACAATATTATTCCTATGAACCATATGCATATCATAGGATTGATTTTTGCCCGTTGATTTGGATTGGAATCCAACCCACGACCTCAAGAGTACAATGATTGCTAATTTTATACTTAAATTGTACATTTACATTTTTAATTTTGTAGTATTTTTTGCCTCAAATTTTCAAAATGTTTAGTGAAGTTGATATTTTTGTTCACTTTTTTAATCTTTTTACTTTTGATTCATCGTTGTTGTGTAGAATGCAGATAATTTGATCAATGTTTCCACTAGGTCTATGCTACAGCCAGACTACTAAAATAACTAATGCTATAAAAATAAATAATAATAGTTGGAATTGTATAGCACATTCATGCAGAAAAAATACAATTGTTTTGGAATATTTAGGATACGCTGATGTGCCATTGCTTGATTTCAAAAATAAAATCATAGTAAAATACAGTTTAAAATATTGAGATTTCCAATAATATTAAAAATATATATTGTTTATTTACAGGTATGATCCATTTTTATCTTATGCAATACTTAGTTAAAATTAACTTCAATTGACAATAAAGTTGATATGATTAATTAATTAAATATTTACCTTATTTCTTCCACTTAAAAAAGACCTCCTAAAAAAGGGGCTGGGGTCAGGAGCCACAAGACCTCCAATGGGGTGGCAGCCAACCAGCTATTAGTAATTAAGATACAGCCATGCCTAGAAAGCTATATAGCTGAGGTTTATGACATGGTTCTTCCAAATAAGGCAAGCTCTGCAATTTTTGCCAATGAGTTTCAGGAGCGTTTAATGTAAAACAGATAACTTACTTATAAGCAATTTTTTAAGTTCATCTTTCTTCTCCTTCTTTGTTGATACTTCGTATTTACTACATTCATTACGATCATAACAATCAAGAGGTGTTAATCCTTCCTGTAATAACAAGATCATATGAAAAATTATAGTATATTTCACTGGATGGCTGCTGCAAACTACATCAGCACAAAAAGGGAAACATTTTAGTTTTGACGACTTATAAATGATAATGGTGAAAATAATAATTCAAAGGAATAACCAACACTATCAGTATCACAATATTTATATCATAGATTGGTTCAAGAATAATTGATGGAATTCATTTGTATAGAATGGAATCAGTGCTCTTATATATTAGGTTGGTTTTGGTTATTTGGAATGTTTGTATTATTGTAATAAAGACATTGACTAATCCTTCTGAATCATTTCTTTTTTCTATACATTACTCTATTTTTTTGGTAGACAGAGGCTCCATATGTTATCAAGCACAATGCTGTTTCTCGCTGTTCATCATAAGTACCCTGAGCACATAGACAGCAATGTAGTGGTGTGTGTCCACGAGGCACAAAACCTTCATCTACAAAATGATAATCAATGTCAGTACACATGAAAACTAATTAATGTATATGACATAAAAGTAAAGCGAAATTAAATAATGCAGTAGAGGATCCAGGAATTAGAAATAGGGGCCCAGGACAGATGGAGGGTCTATACCACCTCAGCCCTACCAAGGTTGGGGCTCAAAATAAGAAAATTTACGATGATGGCACCGCTACATAGCTAGTAGTGACACCCTCAGACTTGAAATTTGAAAATAATTTTCTTTTTTCTCAATTATTTTTTTATGATTTTGAAAAATTTTAGGGGGATATATAATTATCATTCTGAATGAAAAAGAAACACCACACACATAATTACTGCTTTTATGCCTTTTTGCTTAGAATTTTAGATCTCGCTTTTAGCCAATTTTTACAATATTAACTATTACAATTTTAACATTTTATAATGTGATGTATGTGTTGTGTATTTTAGTACGTGATTGCATCATTAAGTATATATATATATATATATATATATATATACAAATTTGTATATATATAAATATATATATATGTGTATATATATATATATATCATTGTAAATCCATGTGTGTTCTTCAAAATATATATATCAGTCGTTGAAACAAAAAATTATGACAACAAGGCATATAGACTCTTGAACACTGTATTTATTTTTGAAAAAAATTTTCGGAAAGTCCTCTTGAACACTGTATTTATTTTTGAAAAATTTTCGGCCAGTCCTCTGGCCTTCATCAGCTTTACTGAATGCACAAGATTGGCTGTTACAAGTTGTATACTGTACAATATACAATACAATAGTGATGTAGATGGAATATAGGCATTATCTAATAGTTTATACTGTAATATACAAAGTGAAATCTGACAGACATCAAAGCGGTCAAGTATAATGGTGTTAAAGATTAAACAATTCTTAATTAAACATACATAGTAGAATAATATGGTGGGAAGCGGACTTATCTACACTATTGGAAGGTTCTTACTGGTGCGGATTGATGATTTGCGATTATTAAAGCTCCACCGCGGTTTCACCGATGTAGGTGCCATGATCACATGCATTACAAATTATGATGTAAATCATGTTGGTAGTCGAATCACATGTGAGTTGAGAGGGGTGAATTTTGTGGTTAGTGACTGGGAGTGTGATTGTGTTGTTAGTGATAATATGTGTGCATATTTAACAGCGACGCTTATAACATTTAATATTGCTATATGAAATCCCTCCTCACATCCTCACGCATCACCACAAAACCTCATTCATTTAATAATCACAAATCATCAATCCGCACCCGTAAGAACCTTCCAATAGCCACACATTTCAATTCTCCTAAGGATAACATCCATGATTTGAGATGTCTACTCATAGCCAATCACTTTAAATCTCTGAACGATCGCCGCATTTCCAAACTCAAACTTTTGAACACAAAACCCACACCATATGCCTCAATAAAGATATAGATTTTCTCAGTGATTAAAAATTCCCATACAATTAATTTTAACCATCTCTATTCAGTTCACAATTGACATTTTATATGCTTTCTCTATTAACACCATACCATTATTTATATATGTCAATTTATATGTATATATATCTTTATCTGTACATTGTATAAGCCTATTTATAAGCATATTGGTTAATGTATTTTTAATTCATATATTCCAGCATTTACATTTTAAGATTTCATAATTATTCACTTATAGTGTAGTTAGGTCTGCTTCCCATCTTATTATTCTACTATGTAATCTTAATTAAGAATTGTTTAATCTTTAAACACCACTATCTCAACACCTGACCGCTTTATCTCTGTCGGTTTTTACTTTGTATATTACAGCATAAAAGATTAGATAATTGGCCTATAATCCGTCTACATCACTATTGTATTGTTTATATTGTAGAGTATACAACTGCAACAGCCAATCTTGTGCATTCAGTAAAGCTGATGAAGGCCAGAGGACTGGTCAAAAATTTCTTTCGAAAATAAATACAGTGTTCAATAGTCTACATGCCTTGTCATAA